CAACCATCGATGAACTCACCTTGATCCGCCATCTCCACGCAATCTCTAGTCTTCTCTTCCGAACTTTCGTCTTCCTTCCTCTGGCACACTCTTTTCTCCTCTCCTCTGCCACACCACACTTCGATGTCTCTCCTTCTCTCTCAAACTGTCGAACCCGCAGTTTACGCACGTCAAACCTTCGCCCTGATCGTCTCTCTCTCTCTCTCTCTCTCTCTCTCTCTCTCTCTCTCTCTCTCTCTCTCTCTCTCTCTCTCTCTCTCTCTCCGTGAACGCGTGGGCGCGCAGCGGGCACAAACCATGCACGACGAACAGGCACGTCACAGCATGCATGCATGCCGACCAGAGCTGCAAGTCTTCGTTCGGGCCCGCCCCCGCCCCAAACCACTCCAACGATCTCTCTCGGGCCCGTCCCGAAACATCTATCCATCAGTCCAACCCTCCCGCCCGCCAATCTCAATGGCCGAGAGCACTCCGACGATATCTCCTAGACCCGTCCCCAAACTTCTACCGGTCCGTCCAACCCGAGCCCGCCCCCGCAAGTCCCAATGCCTTTTCTTGGGCTCCCCGTTGCCAGTCCCGAAGTTTTTCCCAACAGTGAGAGCCGGGTCTCACGGGACCGTGACGCGAGACCCACTATTCACTTAAGGATAGTAAGAGATTCGCCCTGATCGTCTCTCTCTCTCTCTCTCTCTCTCTCTCTCTCTCTCTCTCTCTCTCTCTCTCTCTCTCTCTCTCTCCGTGAACGCGCGGGCGCGAAGCATGCACGTCGAGCAGGACGAAGCGCACAGCGGGCACAAACCATGCACGACGAAGCGGCATGTCATAGCATGCATGCACGTCGACCAACGCCGCAAGTCTTCGTTCGGGCTCGCCCCCGCCCCAGACCACTCCGACGATCTCTCTCGGGACCGTCCCGAAACGTCTATCCATCCGTCCAACCCTGTCGCCCGCCAATCTCAACGGCCGAGAGCACTCCGACGATATCTCCTAGACCCGTCCCGAAACTTCTACCGGTCCGTCCAACCCGAGCCCGTCCGCGCCTTCCCTTCGGCCCGCCCCCGCAAGTCCCAATGCCTTTTCTTGGCCCCCCCGCCGCTAGTCCCGACGTTTTTCCCAATAGTGAGAGCCGGGTCTCACGGGAGCGTGACTCGAGACCCGCTATTCACTTAAGGATAGTAAGGGAAATTAAAGACGCCCCTAATTTTTTTTCTTTTTCTTGTGCTTGTAATTGCTAAAAATGGAGTTGTCCGGGCCCGGACGTTTGGGACCCCCCTGACTGTCCGCCCAGGACGTCCTGCCATCGGACAATTGGTAGCATAGGCTTAGAGAGGGTTTTCCCTCCTCCTAAGGCAAGGTCTACCCCATGGGAAGCCCAAAGGTGCGAAGAAATATATAATATCACCCTTCCAACAATATGCATTTTTGTGCTCTTCCATGCTTTAAGCAGTAGGGAAGAATTTGGGACTTCCGAGACGTCTTAAGCAGTAGCCCTCCTGGTGTCGCGTGAAGATCTTGTGGTCATTGGGATTTCGGCACTCTTTACTGTCCAGAGGCTAGACAACAGATGGGACTGTCTAGCCATGGAGTGATATAGATAGTGGTGGAGTGAGCGAGGAATTAGAGTGTCTGTGCTGCTGTGCTTTTGGGCTGACTCGGAGGGCTCTTCCATGCTTTAAGTAGTAGGTAAGAATCTGGGACTTCCAGGATGCAGTAGCCCTCCTGGTGTCGCTTGAAGATCTTGTGGTCATTGGGATTTCGACTGTCTAGCCATGGAGTGATAGAGATAGTGGTGGCGTGAGCGAGTCCTTTGGGAGGAATTGGAGTGTTAGTGCTGCTGTGCTTGTGGGGTGACTCGGAGGGCTCTCCAAGTTTTTCGGACAGTTACAAGATTGGGTCGGTGCTTTTTTGCTGGAGGAGACTTTTATAGATGGAGAAAACTATATATATTTGTGCAAGTATGCCACTTCGGCGGCAGACGAGCGTGTGGTCACTTCCCGCTCAACCACACAAATGTGGGGAACCGTGCACCTTCTATTATAATGCTCATCTATACGTTGCTTATGGTATGTGGATGGAATGAGAGAGAGTTTGGGGATGTTGACAAACACACAGGGTGTAAGGAGAGCTTGCTCATCCCCCCGTGAATATACACAGGCCCCCTCCCCCTCGCCGAACGTCCTGCTCATCCTCGTACAACCTCCTCCTGCCCGCTGCGTGACCTCTTCCTCCCCATTGCACAAACTTCTCTTCCCCCTAACGCGGCCTCCTCATCCCCATCGTGCGATTTCCTCCTCGCCTCCTCCCGTGACCTCCCCCTGCTCCTCGTGCCACCTACTCCTCCCCCTCATATGGTTTTGTCATTGATTCTTCCTCCCTCTCGCATAATCTCTTCCTCCCCCTCTCACGACCTCGTCCTCCCCCTCTTACGAGTTTCTCATCCCCCTTGTGCGACCTGCTCCTCCCCCTCGTGCAACCTCTTCCTCCCCTCACACGATTGCCTCCTGAACCTCACATGACCACATGTCACGATCTTCTCCGTGTCCTCATGCAGCCTCTTCCACTCATGCAACCTCCTTCTCCCCCTTGCACAACCTACTTCTCCCCCTTGCGCGACCTA